AAGCCATGGCGAATCTGACCTTAGAGCTCAACATTTACTCTGCAAAAGATCTCGAAAATGTCAACCTTATCACAAAGATGGACGTATACGCCGTCGTTTCGATCAAAGGCGATGATTCCCTGAAGAATCACAAGGAGAAAACCGACGTTGACCGAACCGGAGGATCTGAACCAACGTGGAATCACGCCGTTAAATTCTCCGTCGATCAAAGGTTAGCCCGTGAAGGCCGTTTGACCCTCGTCGTGAAACTGTTCTGCGATCGGATCTTCGGTGGTAAAGATCTCGGAGAAGTACAAGTCCCGGTTCTTGAGCTTCTCAATTCGTCGCCGTCATTTAACGGTAACGGGAACGGTCAGGGGATGAGATTCGTGACTTATCAGGTGAGAACTCCGTCTGGGAAAGGTCAAGGCTCGTTGACTTTTTCGTACCGGTTTGATATGCCGTCGTTTAAACCGGATCTACCGGTTTACACGAATCCGATCGATGCACGGCCTGATTTCCCGTCGCCGACTTATCCTCCGACGTCTGAAGCTGGTTTGTATCCACCACTGTCGTCAATTGGATATCCTCCGTCGTCTCAGCCACAAGGATATTCCGCACCGCCGTATCCGTACCCATATCCGTATCCAGACCGGTACGATTCTCCTTACCCGGAACAGCCGGCGACCACTTACCCACCGTCTCCCTCCGGTTCGAATTACCCACCGTCCCAGTCCGGTTCGAATTACCCACCGTCCCACTCTAGTTCGAATAACTTACCGTCCCCCTCCGCCTCGAATTACCCACCGTGTACCTCCGACTCGAATATCTATCCACCGTCGTCTTACGGTGGTTCTCCGCCGCATCATCAGTATTTGTATCCGCCTCCTCCTGATAAACCCGGTCACTCGTACCACCAAATGCGACCTTCACAGTCATTTCACGGGTTTGCGCCGCCGTCTCCACAGCATCAGCATGGATACGGTTATCCGCCGTCGTCTTCGCCGGGATACGGACACGGTGGTCCGCCGTCGCAACAGCCGCCAAAGAAGAGTAAACCAGGGATTGGGCTTGGAACGGGAGCTGGGCTTTTTGGAGGAGCATTGGGCGGGCTATTACTCGGCGATATAGTGTCCGACATTGGCTTTGATTTTTGATATTCGATTATTTTATTCTTTTGTCGTTTTTTCTTTTACTTGCGAGAATTGAGAAATTTACTTTTATGTTTTTATATTTAACTAGGTAAATGATTCATATATATGCTGATTTGTAATAAAATATTTTATAGTCTATAAAAAAATATTTTATAATTCG